TGATTCTATGATTCTATGATTATATGTCCTCTAGTTTTGGAGAGAAAAGCAGACAACTTAGACCACAAAAGCACTATGTTGCAGGGGTTACCTGATGAAAATAAGACATAGGAAATCCAACGGAATACTTCATTGGAATGATGGCAATCCCTTTCTTTTTCCAATAATTTTTCTTGTTAAATTCTTCCACCATTGCTTTTCGGCTGTAGTAGTCAGACTTCTTCAAACATTCTTCCCAACATTTCCACAGATTCTCTGCATCAAACTTTTCTTTGTAGGCCGTTTCTTGAACCCCTTTGTACATGTTTATTTCCCTAATCTAAACAGCAAGCAAATTTACACAGTGGTGAAAGCAAACACTGCCTCATTGGCATATTATGTAGAATAGAATGACATGTCATACAATGACATAATATAATTAGTGCTTATCTACATTAAACATAATGTTATATCCATCACTACTCAGATGGCCTGATTTTTTTTTCTCACATCAAGTATCTGTGAACTTAAGTTGTGTCAATGGCATTCTTTTCAAGGACTATTCAATGCAAAGAAGGTTGGTAAACTTGCATTGTAAATAAGACTAGGGAAAGCAGAAGTTAAAGCTAAAAAACCTGTTTGTCCTTTGGAGGTGTGTCTGAAAGCTTTCCTGAAATGTGGTAAAGGACAGCAAGTAAATGGGAGAAAGAGAAGATACAAAGAAATAGAATAAAGACATGATGGTTGGCATCTAGAAAAATAAAATTATTTATAAACCATAATTTAAATATACAAGAGGTTGGCACATACAAAAGAGGAAAAGCTTATATTGGGTTAAGCAGAGTGTAAGGAAAGGATAAATCTTGAGAGGAAATGGCAACAGTAAAAACTCTTGAGACACTGTCTCTGAAGGCTGGGGAAACAGGGATGACAGGAGCTACCTAGCTGAACTCATGATAGCTGGATGGATAGAAAAGTTAGTAATTCCAGTTCTGAGAGGTTGTGATGAGGTGACAGCCAAACATACACAAAGTGATCTATACCTGGTCACACAGTACAAGAGAGTATACTGTTTTGACTGAAGCTGGTCATACTAATAGCAGCCATGAAACATTTTGCAACAGATTCTGGGACAGTTTGCTGTATATAATATTTGTATTATATCAAGTATTACCCCATGGAAGCATAGGTGCTGAATAATATAACATCCAGTCCAAGCAGAGTTGGTAGATCTGGTTCTACACAAACTAGCTTAAGCACAAGGAACTTCCAACAGATTAATTCCTAGAATTCTCTGTTACCCCATGTTTTATTTGGCAGTCTTAGTTCTTTTACCTTCTCACGTGGTAGGCCAGTTTTGGTTGCCACAGCCTCGACACAGGTCTCCATAAACAGACCTGCTTGGGGAAACCCAAATCCTCGGAAGGCAGTATTAGAAGGCAAATGAGTCTTGCAGGCACGACCCCTGACTCGGAAATTTGGGATATTATATGCATTGTCCACTTTCAACACAACGTACTCAATCACCTGTAATAAGAGACTACAGTTACTTACATGGTTCAATTTCCTTCATAAAAACAGTGAAATTAGTGAAAGACACTCAAGAGACCAGTAAGATGTACTCATTTTATGGAAAAGTAGAACTTTACTCAAGAGGCCTGTTGTTCTGCTGCTTTTTACACCAATATAAGTAAAGAAACCACATCTAAATCAGAGAAACTGCATGTAACTCATAGGAATTGCAATAATATAAAGAAGTATTACTAAGTTCAAAAAACAGACCTGTAGATTTGGGAAAGTGAAGGAAGGAGTTACTAAAACTTAGTGTCTGTCTTTACTTGTGAATTTTCTATGTCCAACATGACCTGACAGGAAATATCATATCTCCTTTATAATACTCTGTAATCGACATCTGGGCCCCAGATCCATTTTTACTTTAAGCAGATGAGAGTCATACTCATCAAGAACAGGAATATTCTTAAGACAAATAAATTGTGACAAAATGCTGTTATTTTCTTTTTGTCACCCATTTACTCAATGTAAGTGAAGAAGGACTTACCCACTCAGATTCATCTTTTGTACAGCCACCATTTATATAGCACTGCAAATCCGCAGCTATGATTCTACCATCATTCATGAATCCAATCTGTAGTATAGCAACAAATACATTAGTGGTCTTTTCTCTCATGTATTTCAAACTTTTCTTTATAAATAAGCTGACCAGTTAAGAAATACCACGCCTGAAGTTCAGACTACGGAACACAATGAGACTTTTCCCACTGAATTGGAAAAACTACCTGCATGGATTTCTATCTATAAGATGGTACCAGTTTGGATCCGAATATGTAAACCAAAGAGCAAAATACATAAAAACCCCACAAATCGTCAGAATACCTCAACTGCCCACAAAACTGTTCTCCCACACAGAATCTGAAGAGCTTGTTCACCACTGTTTTGAGTATGAACATGGACCAGAAAGAGGATAACAAGAATGCTAAGGAAGATATTCACTATGATTATATTTAGTCTACTTTCTGAAGTATTTATTTTGTAATAATCTTTCACTCTGATGATTTCACCACCTAGACAACATAGCAGCATGAACCAATGTTGCATATATTTTACAGGTTACATATTCAGAAATATCCACCAAATTTGATTCTGATTTTAATTCTGGTACCTTCCTCTTCAACTGTTTTTTTTATTAAAGGTATGCATGGGCTTGTATTTTTAATAGATTATATAAGAATATTTAAAGGGGTACAATCACAGAAAGCAGAAGGATATCCACCAAAATGAATCAGGAGCCATAAGCCCCTTTCAATACCACTCAAAAAACCTTGGGACCCGTACAGTATTTTGTATGAAGTAACACTCCTCATCAGTTCCTTTGTGAGTCCCAACCCTCACAATTATGAAAACAGTCTTAATAAATCTTAAGCAAAAATTATTTGCTCAGAAATTATACATAAATGAAACATCCTGTTTTATAGAAATACTTCTTGTAGCTCAGATGCTCATGAAAGTCTAAAAATATCAAACTCCACACTTTTTTTTTCTTTCCTCAATGTCCTGACCCTAACTTTTCTGCAAACCACAGTCCTGCCCTGGCAACATATTTTATCATATATTGAATCATAATCAGGTAATGGATACCCAGAATAATATGAAATACTTATGCTATTGACATCTGTCAGTCACAATCCCATTCCTTGTCTTACAGTTAGTACAAGCTTTAACAAAAATTGAAGCATTCTTCCTTTCTTTTCCCAAACTAGTTCTAACCCTGGTCTAATCATAACCAGGACTGAATAGTATCTTTGTGAGCAATATCTTCAGCAAAATTAAAAATATAACCAGTCTCTCCTAGAAACAGTAATCAACCAAATGACCGCTCATACAAGAGTCCGTAGAAAAGCCAACTCCTCAGCCCTTGTTTGTCCAAACCATGTTGAACCATAAACCCTGTCCTGGAGGGTTTTAGTGTGCTCAAATCATACACCAACACCAAAGAGAAGGACTTTTCCCCTGCTACCACTAGTTGCCAAGCTGATTTCAGTTCTGGCATTGTTTACCTACTTATTTTTAATGTGAGGATTTAAAAGTCAAAAGGAAGAGCTCTGCTACAAGCTGAATCTTGCACTGCCTTGCAGGCATGGCTTTAGGATTGGAGGAGTAGCTCAGATTCAACTCTGATTTATGTATTTGTCTTCTGTGGATGGGGTAGGGCTGATGTTAGCAGTATTTTAAAGTAAGAAAAGAGATGGATGGTTCTGCTTTTTCTGGACTGTAGGGGTAGGACTTGTTCTGATTCATAGCATTTTTCAGGGTACTCTTAGGACTGGGGAGGTTTGGTGGCTGGGTTAGGATTTCGGATGAGGAGGAGCTTGGTTTCTGGCTGTATCTTGCTAGTCAATGAAATTATGCTGATTTGCCCCGGAAGAAACTATTACCCAGTAACTGAGCAAAATATCTTCTCCTCTCACTCACTTTGTATTTTCCAAAGAAAGGGTGTCGTCCTCCAGTGATTAGCATATCCATATCTCTTTCCAGGACGAAACGGATTGGACGCCCAGTCCTAAAATGAACATTAAAAAAATCCATTTTTATAACAGCCTACTGATGCAGATTGAAAATGACATTGCATGTACATAGCCAAACTCCTAGTTGTGACAAAAAAACCAGTCCGTTCAATGTTTTAGGTTCTTATTAACTTACTATGCCTGAGTTCAGGCTGATTCAAAAATGTTTTAAAAAGTTTTTTTTGCCAACAGAAACAAAAGAGAGGGAATGAGCTTTTCAGTGGTTTTCCCTTTAGTTTCTCAACAGGGAGATGCAAGTCCCAAGAGGAATGCATAGGACAGAAAGGCAAGGAAGTCAAAGTAAAAGAGAGCTGTGGCACAAAGGGCTGATGAGCATACCTGCTTATTAGGATAAAAACTAGTTTCACTGAATATCTGGGTGAAATTCACACCACTGTGTGTCAGAGAGTACCAAATGGTGGGATCTGTACAGATCAGCCCAGAGGGAAACTGCCTCTATGCGTTTGTTTTAGCTTTCAGATAGTAAGTGAAAGCCATTGCCAAAAGCACAGAGAATTTTCAAGCCTCTACCCCAGATTTACTGCCAAAGAGATAAAAGAGATGATGACATCAGGATAACCCTCTGAGTTGGGTTGAGGACTGAAGCTCCTTCTTCATTCAGTCTTGTAATCTTTAATTTATTTTAGTTAAATCACATATTTGATTTAGTTAAATCATCTTACTTGTTGGCTGCCACGGCGGCAATAACAGCAAAGAGTGAAGGTTTGGTAATCTTGCCACCAAATGCTCCACCAACACGTTTCACATGGCACATAATTTTATTGGACTGGACATTTAAAGCAGCAGCTACTAATTCCTGCAAAAGTGAACATCCAGAATTTTACCTACCAAAGCACATTAAAAATTGCCTAATCTCTATGACTAATCATATATTAAAAGCTATCAGGTTTAAGACTTCTGGGCAGAAAAAGTGAGTTACTACAGGAACAAAAAACCAAAAAAATCTCAAACATGTAAAGATGCTAATGAAAGCGCCATCTGGTTATTAAAGAATAGTGGAAATGCAAAAACAGGTCTGTAAACTAGTTTCATTATCTGAGGCCAGACATGATAATCCCTGTATAGAACTGCATGTTCTACCTGCAGCTGGAGATAAAGCATTCACTAAAATATCAAGCTAAATGGAACAGAGTGATTGTTTACAGCACACCAGACAGTGTAACTAAAATACTGACACCGCTTTTCGAAAATACATCCTCCAACAGTGTTTCCAAAGATGTAAATAGAGGTTTAATTTGTCAGGCTGACAGGGAAATCTTAAAAAATGCAAGCCACTGATGAACTGCAAAAGCTAATACTAAACTTAGAAATTAACATATATTCTTTGAAACTGTTGTTTTGTACAGATTTACAATCCAACTCTGATCTTAACTAGGACCTATTAACTTTTTAAATATAATTTCATGTGATTCATATGTTGTTATTATTTCCGTATTAATTTAGCATTATTTACACCTCATTATGACCCCATCATCATCAATGTAACTACTCATACAAGTAATGCAACTTGGCTGAAATACACTTTCTAAAGGTGAAGACACTCATTGCTGCAATAAAGTGATTGTCCAGGATTGTACTCATTCTCACTGATTTTGGAGGATTTGGCCAATATATATAAACCAGAATTAGTCTTTTCTCAACAAGAAGATTACAGTCATATTATCTATCCCAGATACCCTTTGTTCGTCCCATAGCAACAGTGCTCATTTGTGTCAGTACTCCCTTGTATAATGCAAAGAGCACAGGACCTACTGTTCCATTCAGCCTCATCATTAATAGTCAGACCTCTTATTTTCATAAAAAGATTCAGATCAATTAATCTGAATTGGGAACACCATTAGGGAGTTTCAAGTGAAGAAGAGAAGACTTAAAGCAACTCCTGGTCATGTATTTTAGTTTTAAGGTTATTTAGGAAGGTGAGAAACAAATATAATTAATATTTTGTTTTACCTGTACTTCTGTTACATACTGACTTGCCACATACACATCCATTTCTTTATCTTCCACTCTTGGAATAACAAGCACACTATTTGTTTCCATGTAAAAATGTTCCTGTCCTCCCATGTGCAATTCACCTATTACATATATAATTATAGGAAAATATAAATTGGATTTCAAATGAACTGCAACAAAATTTATATTTGACTATATATATGTATACAAGGGAGAGAAAAAGAATTTTGCCACAGAAGAAAAATGGTTTAATTTATCTTTTATTTCTTCTTTTAGTCAGCTGCATTCTTGACAAGGAGATGGTAGAGTTTAGTCAACATGAGCTAGCAGGGGATAGCTAAGCTTCACTTAAAATGTGAGCATTTCATCTCTATTCCCAGTGAAGGAGAAAAAAAACAACAACAGAGTAAGTTTTCTTGCAAAGAGATTAGAAATTTAAATTCAGCCACCAGCTGGAAAAAGATTCTGAACTAGCATAATTCTCCTCCCTTGCCTTATGCCCTGAATGTTTGAACTACCTTCTATGACTTCATCAGCAGACTTGAATCCTTTCACAATATCTCCTTTTTCTACTTTAATTTCTTCAGTAATGTATGAATGATGTTTTATTGCATCCTGCAGCAAGAAATAAAACAAATATGTTAATTGTATTTCAGAAAGACAGATGATTTTTAGAGTGCAATCTTTTATCATCCATATGATCCTTTTTCAGATGGACAGATGGTTGTGGCTAAGTTTTAGAAGGATCATGATAGTTGTTCCATCATAAGAGACCCTATTTGAAATTTTTTTTTTTTCTTTAGTTCATATCATTCTCTTTTCCCCCCCAAATTAGAAATACTAAATGTCTGTTAATGGAATTCAGAACTGTTGACAATATTTCAGAATCAGATTGCTTGCTGATTCTGAAAACCTGGCAGGCCTGAAAATTTTCAGAACACAGATGTAGAATGTGTGATACCAGAACTTCTGCAAACATAAGCTCTCAAATTTAGTTCTATACTGATCTACTACTGCTGGGAATTTGGCTCCTGGAAGCATGGAATTGCTTAGCTAAAACTTTATGAATATCCTTTAGTAATTCTACCTAGAACTACAAAGAGCATGCTCTGATATACTGGATGAATAGGTACCTAATAAGATTCTTTTGTGTTTCTAAAACTGAAATTTTGGAGGGCATTTATAAACATTTTACCCTTCATCTTCAGAACCAATAAAGTCGTATCTCATACCAAAAGAAGATTTTTCTTCTAAAGCCTAGCAGAGCTCTGCACAAGAAGGAAAACGGTGGGTGTGGTGACTTAAAAGCTCTGTCAGGCAAGGAAGAGAAAACAGATTGTTACCTTGATAGTCAGAATTGGGTCCAGATCTTCATAGACTATCTTCACCTTTCCAGCCCCACACTTTGCCTGAGTCAGTGACTCTGCAACCACAGCACAGATTATCTGACCAACACAAATCACCTGCAACAAACCAATGCATTATCCAAGAGAAGAACACAGAAGTGGTTAAGTTCCTGTGGAGACACTGTTCTGAGGAAATAGATTCTGCTCAAATGCCCCTTTTATATTCTGTTTCTCTAAGAATACTATCCCAGTGCAGACTTAACTTCATTAGATGAGAAGCCTATTAAGCATCTTTCATCTGCTGCAACATTTCTGACATTAGAAATGCTGCTGACACCAGTAGTCATGAACATTTTCCCTGTGTTCATCCTGAGGCAGCCAGATATTGGGTCAAGTAAAATCATATCTGGCACAGACTGTTTTCCTTGTGTGTATTCAGAAATGAAGGAAACTCAGAGAAGAAGGAACAGAGAGGTAAGAGCAATAGATTAGGAATATCTTAATGGATGCTATAAATTTCTTTGCTCTGTTGATGTTCAACAGAAAGAAAGAAAGAGTGCTGTCTCCCACTGTATATTCTGGTACATAATCTAGCAATTAATTTCATATTGGTTTCAACTTGGCAATCCTCATTTTATTTGTCTCATCTCTGAAAATCTCAGATGCCATAGCTATTTAATACTTTCTCAGAATCCATGACAATCACTCATTTATCAGCCCTTAAGGAATCATGGTTTATACACTTAAATCCCAAGTTATTTAATGGAGCTTTTCTCTTCTTTCTTTCTGGGGAATGGTAATTCTGTTCAGCCCAGCTTGCCTGGCACTGTATTAATAGATTGTGCACCTTTTTTCATTTCATTGCAATAAGATGATACTTGCAAACTGACATCCCTATTTCTGTAAATAACTGAAGCAAAAGGTCCAGACACTCCTCCAGAAGGAAGAAATACCTCATTTTCTGCAAATGCAGGCTCATCTTGGCCATTTTCCCCTGGAACATCTCTTGCTGTCAGTACATCAACCACTCCTGGCATCTGAAGAGCTTCTGATGTGTCAATTGATCTGGAAAGTAGAACATGCACACAAATGAGCACAGTACATGGTACAAAGAACTGTAGTACAAGTAATTCAGTGAACTTTAGGACAGAAACATAATCCACTTAGTATTCTCACCACAGATCTTCTACATAGAGAAGCAGAGAAGTATTAATTAGCATATTGAGAAAAAAATAAATGGAAGGCATGACCATCTGTGTGTGACTGGCATAGAACAGCTCCTTGAATGCTAGTTCCAGTACATACAAAGTATGGTTTTTCCACATTTTTGTACTAGAAGAGGTGAATTCATTAATATAGAATCTTTTGTCCATACAGAACTCTATTTAAAGCACACAGTAAAGAAATTCTTACCTCATTTGTAATACATACCTCATAATATGTCCAAATCGGATAATAAGGATAGAAAATACTTGTTAACATACTTATGTGCTTATAATTTTTTCTTACTTACATAATCTTTGCATGGGCTTTAATACTGGTGACCATAGCCAGTGCAAGTTCTCCATCTACTGGACGAATGTCAGTGATGTAAACTGCTTCGCCAGTGGCATGCCGAATCCCAGATTCGTGCATGATGGGACGGCCCACGGGATCTTGTGGAGCCTGTCCTGGGTCAACATCCTCGAAAACAGGAACATGGAATCCTCAAGTCAGAAGAGTAATTTTAGGAACCTTTACTCAAAAACACTTTCTGAGGATATTTTGTCATAAAAACCCCCATGTGGAACCATCTAGATTTCATGACAATATTTGTGGGACACATTGTAAAGGACTAATTACATTTTTAGAATTCATGTTGTATTGGCACCAAGGTGGCCCTGGCAGACATCTGAGAAATATACTGTAATAGATAACATTCGTGTCTAGCAAATGGCAATCTCTTCTCGTGGAGTGATTGTACTAAATAAATAGGAGAAAAGAATCACGAAAAATCTAAGTACTTGTACACAGTGGAACCATAGCAGACAAAGGAGAGCTAAAGTCTTCTGGATGTTATAGATAGCCTGTCTGCTTGGTCCATACTGCTTCTGACAGCACCTGGTGCAAGCTACACTTTTTACAGACTTTCAACATCACCACTGCTTCAATCAATCAAATTTCATGCTGTTTACTTCAGAGAAAACATATCTTAAATTAGGAATATATTCATGCATCACTCTAATTCCTTCCTGCCCATCTTCCTAAAGAGACAGGCAAATTAATATTCTAGCCAGTGTTGACTAGACTAAAAAATGGTTTAAACCAGTTTTTTACTATTTAAATTCCCATCATCAATCCCCTCTATTCTTTCAAAGACAGCCTGGAATTGAAAGCATTTCAGACATACTTAATAAAAATACATCTTTGGTACTCTCTGTTGTTGAATTGCTTATAGTTCACATTAACTTGAAACATTATTATTGGGGACGATGAAAATCTTCCAGCATTTATGGTTTGGTTGGGCCTTTACTAAAGAGTTCTCTGAAAAACACATCTTAGTCTCTTAGAGGAGAAAAAACCAAATTCTTGTCTGATGCTCAAAGTTTTTTGGTAGAAAACTGATAAGAAGCAGCAAAAGCTTGATTTTTAAAGTTTTTCAATTTTGCAACAAAAGAAAAAAACAGGTGAAAATTTCTGATGAAATTTGAAATTTTTAAAACTGAAATTTTGCATTGAACAAACATTTCCACATCCCAGCCACCTCTCCTTTTCATACTGTGTCTTTGCAAATAAATCTTTCAGGCTTTAACAATCAGAGAGATGCTGCAGTAGGTTATTCCATTTATTTGCATTGAGGCCCACTGGACAGTTTAATTAAATTCTGCTGAGCTCTTGCATTGCTGAAAGCTGTGTCCCTGTTTCAGCTGTGTCAGGACAACCTAATCTCCACAACACCTTGAGGGCAAGGAGTGCATATGCACCCTGCAAGACCAGGAAATGTATAGCAATACAAAAGACTTCCCACAGCGTCAACTGTTTCAGCAGCTTCATGTTACGATTAGTCGAGGTTTAAGAATGAAAAGTTAGAAGGGCAAAATACTCATTAAAAAGAGGGTTTGTGACAGTCCCAGCTGCAAACACAACCTCACCTGATAGATCTGGACACCGTGGGGAACACCACTTTGTAGCATTCCCAAAGCACTCAGCTTCTCACGTGAAAGCTCAGCATACCTGTGAGGATACTGAAAAGAAGGTGATGTCAGAGCAGTGTTGTCAGACCCTTATTTCTAAAAGAAAAGTTTTCCCCTCATATATTTTGAAGTAAGGCCTAGCACCTTTACCCTTCCCTCTCACATTCCTTAATCTTTAAAAAAGTGATTTTCCTGCAGCCTGTATGCTGATGACAGTATGCAATTCTTGTCCAGTGCTTACCATCTGATGTAAACCATGTAACACTTCCAGGTAAAATCTGAAAAGAAAGCTGACCATCAGAGTTCTTCTATATTCTACTTTTCCACCCACAGCTGATGGAGGGATCAAAATTTCCTCTAGCACCAGTTTGCAAGCTTCATTCAGCATCTGATCATTCCATTGCCTGGTAAAAAAAACAGACTAACATGAACACACACTTCTTTATAAGTAACAGGCAGCTAAAGATACTGTGAAGTATGTGGGAAGTAATAAGTGAATCAGCTTCAGTTATATCACGAAATAATCTATTGTTAGAGAGGACAGGTCAAATACAGACTGTGAGTGGCTCATGATGGGATCTCCACTAGCACAATCAAGCCAACCCCACACTTAAAACTATGACTCCTATATTTTGCTTAAATATATTAAGATATTGCATACCTTCCTATGAGCTTCTCACAGGACTTTCTTGCACTGACTGTGGTTGAGCCAATGCCTCCAAATAAAATACTCAGATCTACAATGGTGTCTGTGCCTGAGTGGAAGTGGACTCGCATTCCAGAGTTCACTATGGCAAAAGCATTTTTCTCTCTTTCAGCCTGTCTGAAGGCCGAAATAAAGTCATCCTAATGGGAAAAAGAAGGAAGGAAGGAAAAATTCAGCGTTAGAAGTTGATTGAGATCTATTTTTCGTTGTATTTTAGGTGTTACTATTGCCCAAAGTTTCAGTAAAACTTTTGATTTTTCTTGAAGTACTAAGTGAATCCTAAACAGCCATACTAAGAGTGGAGATTATTTGAGGTTACCTACATGTAAGAAAATATGCCAAATTTTCAACTTTATAATCAGTTTAATGATTTTTGAGTGCTGGAAAAGCAGTCCTGGTACAAGCCACTTCATATACAGCTGGTATGTTCTTTGAATTTAATTCCAGTTTAGAAAATAGTGGTTTCTTCTCCAGGACATGGAGGTTTCCACTGAGCTAAGGAACCTGATTTTGTGAAGATTTTACACTCAGAGATTTTACATTTTATCAGTAATGGTGTTCACAGAGGGAGACACTAGAAACAGCTGGGCTTTCGATTGTCAGAAATATTTTGTTATGGAGAAAAATTAACATATTTTAAATGAAAACATAATAGCAATATCTTTCATGATCAGGCACAGATAAGACTATTGAAGAAAGTCTGTAGCTCCAGAAAGAAACTTCAGATTTAGATGGCCACAGAACTTTTAAAGCAGGGGTTAGCATGTTAGATCTATGTGTACAAGTATGTGATACTCTCATGACAAATGTAAAACTCAGGATTACATGCTGAACAGTGTGTCTTGTCATAGATGGAAAATTCTCTTGACAGGATTTACACTGCTTTACTGAAGCAAAGTTCACATCCAGCTACCCAAAACCAAAAGCCAGCAGCTGACAGGAACAAGAGGGAGAACTGAAAGCCAGGCTTCCATCTGAACATTCTGTTGATAAGTCTTGCAAAAAACCTATGCATGTGCCTTTTCATTGTGTCAGCAGAGTTAATGGAAACAGCGATTCAGCATGGAAGTGTGCAGCAGAAGCAGCCTCCCCAAAAGAGGTGTTAATGTCCCATTATGAGACTGCTTAATTGTTGGAGAATGGCGGGACATGATCCTGGGTATGCAACTGGGGAAGACTAAAAAGAGCAAGGACACAGTCCCCTGGGAACGCATGGACATAGTCCTGGGAATGCACCTGGGAATGCAGTGTACAAGCAAGGCTCTGGAGATAGTAATTTATATATAGATAGGGAGTAACTCAGCTGGGCAGATGGCAGATGGCAGGGGTAAGTCGTCCTTGAGGGTGAAACAAACAGGTTTGAGAAAAACAGCTAGGAATGCAGCCAAGCCTGAGAAAGTAAGAGATAATACACACAGCTGTGGCTGCAAGCAGGGAGAGTACCTGAATGCTATCTTTAGAGCTTAGCCAATTATAAATGATTGATAGTTGTATGCCTGTCCTGTATGGTATAAAAAAGAGCCTGTCGGACAATAAAGTTGGAGCTTGCTGTATCACCCACATGGAGTCAGCCGCTTGCTTCCCCACGCGGAACTTTCCCTTTCCCAATAAATGGCGCCCGAACAGGGGCCTGAACTTTCCCAACACTTGATCTCATATGCTATGCATGTGACATCTGATAGATAAGTTTTCTGTTCTTCAGTGACCTTTTGAGTTTGCCAGCAGCGCTATTGTCTTTTGTTAATTTTGTTGTCCTCACCTTTGCTGTTATGGGGTGCAACTGTCTCCCTCCGAAAGGCAAGACTCTGAAATACCCTCTGTGATAGCTTTAGCTCTGTGGCAACACTTGTCATTGGACAAAGGAAATTGGGATTTCTTTTTCCTTTTAGTTTGTGGAAGGAGCTAATCTGTTTCTCCTTAATTTTCTCTTCCAGGTTTTTTGTTTCTCAAATTACCACTAAGGCTTGAAGTTTCTGGACAGCAGAAGCACTATTACTGCTGCACAGACCACGCTTTTGCAGGCTTTGAGCTCATGGGAATCCTTTAGTTTTTCACAGGAAACCTGCCATGGCTGGCCAGCTTCTCATGGGCAGATGCACTCGTCCAGCATGAAGTCACATGTTTAGTAGGCTGCATTCCAGTGGGCAGCTACTCTGGGGACTGACCCTCTGATGTAAAGGTTGGTAGAGACTCCTGTGGTCATTCCCTCACTGACCTCGATCACAACATACTAGCTTGTAATTAGGTTTTCCTCTACCCACCCCATACTTTTCCTCACATCCACTAGAGGGATATCTAAGATCACAGTAACAAGGACACTGCGTCCTCTGCCCCTAACCCCCTAATGCCACTCGCCGCCACCTTCGGTCAGAGTAGTTAGGACCTTATTTTTTGAGCAGCTGTAACAACACCTCAGGATTATCAATTGTAAATTGCTGGTGAGGTCAGAAATGAGCTTTATCACTGAAGGCTCTGTGACAATATGGCATTTCTCCTGCAAATATTCAGACAGCCTAAATTCCTGTGTCTGGAAGGGGCAGAAGTGCACATTTAAGAGTGGGAAAAAAACCAGTGAGAGGCCCAGAGAAGTAGATGACAATAGCCAGATAGAAGAAGTGGGAGAGGTGATGGAGGGATGCCAAAACTTTCTTAGCTACTTCCAAAGCAGTAGCACCCTGCATGTTTCAACACCTACTGAAAATAATGGAAATATTCCTAATAACTACACTGGAACCTGAATGAAAATTTTGAAATATTGAGGTCTTACCTTCTTAGAGTATGGGATGAGAACAGAAACGATGACCTCTTTGGTCTTTATGTCTGCATGCTCCTTGCCAGCAAGGAACTCATCATTTAAAGGAATGTGTCTTTTACAATCTGTTGGAGAAAATTGTTATTGAATGTGAAGCAAGAAGAAAACATTTCTGCATTGCAGATTTCAATTTCACTGAATCTGTGCAAAAGAATATATGAAGGCCATTATGGCCTTAGCATGGTCTGCTCCATTCAGAATCTAGCCTTTGACTAGAAAGGCTAATCAATACAATACATATTAAGTGCAGCATATTTCCCTATATGAATGCTATAGTTCTCTATCACACATAAAATACTGAGTATTTTATACTTTCTGGAAAATATCTGTCTTACCAATGCTAATAATATTCAGAAAATCACTTACTTAGGATCCAATATGGCTATTCTGTTTCTATGCAAAAGCTCTCCAGACCACTAAATCATTAAATCACAGCAAGCTTTTAAAAAACTGTCAAGTACTGGGATGAGATGGAGAATCAACCCTGTGCATCTTTAGTTCAAAGAGAGTAGAAATTGTTGGCAAGATTTTCCAAAGTACCCACAGATTCTATGTTGCAAGGATGGCACTTGCTTTGGCTTGATTACTGGTTATCTTATTTAAATGGGATACACATGTATGTACACACACACAAAAGTACCAGTGACTTCAAGAGAAGTTTCTATGTGCATGGCCCTAGAGAATGAACTAAAGGCTTTCTTAATATGAGAGAGGCACAAGCAATGCAAGGAAACAGTGGTGGAGTTATAAGACAAAGCTAACCTGTCTGATAAATGGAGCAATATAACCAAAGGCAGTGTAGAAAGGAGGTCTTTCTACCTGGCAGGCATGCCCACCTCACTTTCATGAGATGACTGGATGCTAGATGCTAAATACAGTGTTTTCTACTGGCAGATACTTTTTGCAAATACAAGGAAAATGTTCTCCATTCTCCTGAATGTACCATTCTAATTCATCTAGGAGATACACAGTAATATTTCATTTGAAAACTGTTACCTGTAGCCATATCCTGTGTTGTAATATTCTGCCCGTCTGGCAAAGATATTTGGCAGGAGGTGCAAAGCTTACCTTTTGATGCCAAGTTGAGGACAGATTTGCCAACTGCTAAGATTGGGTTCAAGTCCCAGGGTGATCCCCTGCTTACAATGTGTCCTCCTAAAGACTTTAACAAACAATGACGTTATTTTCAGACTGGACCTTCTTGCATATAACAGGGATCTGTATCATAACCGCATTTTATTCAACTCAAAGACCTCTTGGAAGAACTTATATTTGCTTTGTTCAATCTTAACTCAGGTTCTATCCTTGTACTTTTTATTGTGATTTAATTTATTGTTCCCTTCAAAACTCTGTTCTCATGTCATCTCTGTTGACAGATACTAGGTTTACTTTTCAGCCCTCCCAAAGACATAGCCATTTTCTTGGTTAAAAGAAGAAATACATGGCATTGCAGTAAGAGAATTTTAAAGGAAAATCGAGAACAAGATCAGAGATACCTAGTACATGATGGGTAAACAGCTATGTGTTGATAGTCAAGTTAAAGTATGACTGACTGGCTGCAATGTACAGTACCTAACCAGAGAACCTCACTTGCTTCTCAGCCTCTTCCAGTGCTCTGCTCAGCCAGTGAGCAGGAATAGCAGGAGTTTCTCTGGTTATAGTTCTCTCAATATTTGCCTGTGCTAACTAGAACAGAACTCCTAGTTATTTCACATAACATTTGTGATGGTAGTAATGATTTAGCATGTTCCCAGCCTCAACCAGCCTTTTCCATGTATTTGTAAGTGACATTCACAGATATGTTTGTAGCAATGTCTTATTTACTGCTGCTGCTGAATACATACTGCCATGCTCCTGATCTGTTCTCCAGCTAGAGTTCTCAGCTGCTGCAAGAGAGCTTGGTATGTTTTTGTTTTCTCCTCTGGAAGTTTTGGGACTGCCTCCATTAGGATGTCTCTGAGCTGGGCCAAACAGCAGGCAGCTCCTATTAGTAGCCCTGAAATCAAATGCGTTTAAACAGTGAAATCATAGTGCCACAATATAAATGCAATATATAGCTGATATGGCCTCTAAGATTTGCTTTTGTACACAGCTCTTGTCAGCAGGATAACAAAGAGAAATGATAGTAAGATGTATTTTATATTACTGTGTAGTGGTTTTGTGTGGCCAGGTTTTGGCAGTGGGGGGCTACAGGGAAGGTTTCTGTGAGAAGCTGCTAGAAGCTTCTCCATGCCTGGCAGAGCCAATGCCAGTAACTCCAGGACAGACTCACCACTGACAGGTTTTGGCAGTGGGGGGCTACAGGGAAGGTTTCTGTGAGAAGCTGCTAGAAGCTTCTCCATGCCTGGCAGAGCCAATGCCAGTAACTCCAGGACAGACTCACCACTGAGGCAAGGCCGAGCCAATCAGTGGTGGTAGGAATGCCTCTGTGATAATATATTTTAGAAAGAAAAAAAGTTATTGCACAGGAGTAATTGCAGCCAGGGAAAAGAGAAGAGAGAATATGTGAGAGGAATAACTATGCAGACACCAAGGTCAGTGGAGAAGGAGGGGGAAGAGGTACTCCAGGTGTCAGAGCTGAAGTTCTCCTGCAGCCCATGGTGAAGACCATGGTGAAGAAGCTGCCCCCCTGCAGCCCATGGAGGTTAACAGGGTGCAGAGATCCACCTGCAGCCCACGGAGGAGATCCATGCTGGAGCAGTGGGATTCCTGAAGGAGGCTGTGACCCCATGGGAAGTCCTTGCTGGAGCAGGTTCCTGGCAGGGACCTGTGGACCACTGGAGAGAGAAGATCTATGCCAGAGCAGAATTTCTTGTAGGACTTGTGATCCTGTGGTGGATCTGCACTGAAGCAGGCTGTCCCTGAGAGATGGGCCTGCGCCATGTGGAGAGTGGCCCATGCTGGAGCAGTTCATGGAGAACTGTAGCCTATGGGACGGACTCATGCTGGAAAAGTTCATGGAGAGCTGTCACCCATGAGAGGGACCTCATGCTGGAGCAGTGGCAGAAAGAACGTGTGATGAACTGACCGCAACCCCCACTTCCTGTCTCCCTACATTGGGGTGGTGGTGGGAAGGTAGAGTTGGGAAGGAGGAAGGGGTGGGGGAACATGTTTTTAATGTCTATTTCTCATTATCCTGCTCTGATCATGTTAGTAATAAAATAACTTAATTTTCCCAATTAGAGTCTGTTTTGCCCATGATGGTATTTGGTGAGTGATCTCTCCCTGTCCTTAACTCATGAACCTTTTGTTATGTTTCCTTTCCCCTGTCTGTTTGCAGAGGGGAGAACAACTTTGGTGCATGCCTGGCATCCAGCCATGGTCAACCTGTTATGTACATGCTTTTTCATCAATAGTTCTCAGTATAAAGACATACCTCAAAAATATACATTGCATATTTGCACACAGCAACACCCCCCCCTTTTTTGTGCTGCATAATCCCAAAGATACGAATAGCAGTTGACTCATTAGGATGAAGGATCACCAAATTATTAGAATCTCCCAAGACTGAGCTGCAAACACTCAATTACACTGCAGTAGTATCAGAGAAGTCACTACCATGGACTTCAATGAACACTAAAGTAAGCTCGTAGAGAAGTCTTCAAGTGCTGTTCAGCATTTTTTCTGAACAAATGGCCCATGTTCTAAAGCTCTCTTTTATTGTCAGATCTACTTAAATGCAGAGTAGCCCTGAAATTAGCAAAATATTTTGAAAATATAATTCAATAGCTGCTGTAAATCATGGAGATAGCAGAACATCAGGAGAGAAAGAGGCAACTGTAACAAAATGTTAAATTCCCATGGGGAACATGTTGCATTTCATTATTTTGCTACAGGTGTAGTGCCTTTACTCATAAAGGTGATGTGCTGAGAATCCAGCCCAGCTACTCCAAAGAAAATTTTATAATATTTCAGACTGGAAATATATGTTTGAATATTTTGTGTTGAAAATCTAGCCCTCGCCTAAACAATATTCTGTGGACTTTGTTAGATCAATGGTTGTCATAGAAAGTCTCATGACTGCTGAAAACAAAAAAAAAAATTGCTGACTTAGGGCCTTCCCATATGCTTGCTGTCTGCAGAGATTTGAGATTTGAACAAATATATTTTCACAGAACAGTTTCATAAATTGTCTGTCACAATCAATCCATCATCTCCAGACTGTAGGTGAGCTGACATATTGATTAATATGCTCAGTGAAATGACTGCTACGGAGACAAAAAAAATCAAGTGCCCACAGCAATGAAAGTCAATGGTTCTTACTGCTTCAGGTGTCAGAATACAAAACCCAAGTTAATTTAGTTACCACTGTTTGTACCACAGTAGAGTAACTTGGAAACTTACCATCTTTTGTGCTACTCACAACATGCATTTCTGAAATCCTAACAGGATGGAGAATGATTTGATGACAGGCACCACAGTGATTTTCTTTGAGTCCTGAAAGAAAAGGACGATAGTATGATGAGAAATCTGTTTAGAGAATTAACCTCCTTGACCAGAAGCTGAAAAGTTCAAAACCACCTTAACTAAGTAGTTTCAAATTCTTAGGGGGTTTATTATGTAGCATCTTGAATATCACATTTGACCACTTTTACCAGACCCATCTGAAGTTCAAAGTCTAATATTCTCTTTTTGGCTCTTGTTCTTTGCTCCTCTGGACTGGTTTCTGTTTTTTTCCCATATCACATTCAGATTTTACCTCACACCTCAGAGCTATACACAATTCCATATTTTTTCGTCATGTTTCTAGCTACTAACTCCACCTTTCTATATGGGCTACCTAATTTTTTTGCTTCCCTTGTTCTTTTCTTGTGCAACATCTTAAAAACAACCTATTCCCAAACTAGTTTATACACATAGTAGCTAAATTATCTCATGAGCTCTCTCTCTCTGTTCTGTATCTCAGATTTTCTATGGTATTCGTCTTTGCTGTTCAGTAGACGTTTTAGACCCTGATCAGATGACAAGAGAGAGCTTTCCCTTGATGGAACAGGACCTGAAGGTTTTATACTTATTTGCCATTTTGTTACTTTGCCAAGTACTGCATCATTGGGGTGTGTTACTAAACAAGTGCCATGCCCTTTGATAGCGAATGTACAGATTTGGAGAAGACCTGAAGGGTTTTGATCCAGGCCTTTATTGTCTCAACAGTGAAGGAAATATTCTTACCAAGTTCTTCCTGACTGATACTCCTTCAACAAAAAGTATGTTGATAATTTATAAAAATAAAACCCTGCCATCCATAATATGCAGAGTCTAGCAAGTGCTTGGATATCATGCCCGTTTGTGGGCATTTATTTCATGATACTCAAGCTAACAGGGATGTGAAATGTTTGCCTCCCATCAACATGAGTGAGTTATTCCTTGTCCATACAAATTGTGTCTTTGACTCTGAGGTTACTGGGAAAGTTAGGCAGCACAAATCCTGGGCTCAGGTGATGCTGGTGCTAGTCCTAATCGAGTTACTCATTTGCTGCAAAAAAAATAACAGGAAATTACATTGACCTAAGTACTGAAACACAATCATTGGGGTGACAAAAAGCATTTAGGGTCCCTGAAGACGAAATGCAAGATTATGTGCCTACTGCACAATTCAACTCTTGTTTCAGAAGATCTTTTGTCCTTCCATACCCACACTGGTGTTTCCCAAGACCACGGGTGCCTTTGGATACTTGGCTTTCAGCTCCAGAAGCTCCTTCAGGCTATGGGGAGAAATCCATGTTGTTCTCTTGCCACGGAAAATCAGAGTTGTTCTTTTCTGCTCTTGAGCCATTCTCTGTGTTGAAAATGACAAAGATTTGGTAATTTTGACTAATGCAATATAAACCACCAAATTGCTCGGTAGGACACTGTGTCATGATGGACAGTGAGACATTAATGAGGCTTTTCATCTGAAATTCCTGTGGTGCTGAACAGTGCTGAGCTTTATCATAACTATATTATTTCTCAGGAAACTGAGATGAGAATGAACTAAATTACTTGTTAAGAGACTCTCTAAATGAGTGGTAGAAGTTAGTCTTATGTTTTCCTTTCTCCTGCTGTGATGATTCTGAAGGAGCCCCTTTGTATATGATGTCAACAAAAAACAACGTGACGGGACTTTGTGGAAAATCTCACTGCATATGTGACAGAAGTGTATTCTCTTAGTCAGGGAGAATCACTACATTCTCATCTGCTGAGAGTCATGTATCTACTATACTAGGCTCAGACTAGTTTCTACAATATGTAAAATATTTTTAAAAATTAAAGTATCTACTTTCCCAATTGTCCACAAGGACGAGCCTTTTCAGAAATATTGCCTCCTGGGGATGGTTGATCAGTACTTACATTTTTGTTTAATCAAAGTGTTTTTCTGGCACCTCCTGTCTTATAAGACTAAATATATCTGTTTTTTCCCCCTAAGAAAATCATGTATGTTCTTTTCATGTTTGAAAAGTGCCATGTGGAATCACGGTTTCAAAATATGCAAAAGCAATCCCTGAGAAACACCTGTATTTGCAGGTAATGCAATGAATAGACTAGCAGACAAGCCAGAGAACTGTTGCAACTATGGACTGCCCTTCTAGATAAAAACATGCCTGAAATGCCAAAAAAGTGCTGTGGAACCAATCGTCTTGCTGCTGTGGGTGCCTTGTGTAGCGTGGAGAAGCAGTTCACTCCTTCTGGCACCTCAATCTGAATATGCAGAGCATATGATGGCACCTCCTTTCTGGCTGACCAGCTTTTTGAGCCAGCAGCAGTTTAGCCAAGAACTTTAAACCAACTATGAAAATTGCAAAAAATTAATTTAATAATTATAAATATTAATTTAATGCCTTCTTAAAGCATTCTCAAAGGCAGGTGAAGCAGCAGAAAGGCAAATTTACTTTCTATTTCATGCTTTCATAGAGGAGTTTATGCCTTACTATGCATGTTCTGCACTAAGAGGCAATCATTAAGTAAGAAAGTTATACTCTATGACAAATGTTTACAAAGCCAACTGCCTTACAAGAAATAGCATTCTGTAGTACAGTGGCAAGTCCAAGAACTGTGTTATGCATTTCCAGAACTTAAATGAACTTTTGTGCCTCTGAGGTGGTTGTGTAACAGCAGCAAAAAGTGCCCACGAATATTTGCAAAAGGAGTGCAAACAAGGAATTTTGCAAGAAGCTGTTGAAACATGAGTGAGGATTAAAAAAACAACCCGGATCTGCCTGCTTGGATTCTACTCTGTCTAGATATTATGGGCACTTTCCTCCTCCTCCTTTCAAGTTTCCATCTCTTTCTGTGAGTTTCCAATAACTGCTACAATAAACCCTCTTTTTTTCCTCTTCAAGTCTTTTGCCTTTCTATGGAGCTGCGTGTAAGTCAAGTCTTAGCTTGCTAGGGTCTGTGTATCAGCTGGAAGGAAATAATCACTTGAATCCAGCAGAGAATACAAGACAGAAAAGATGGAGAAGGTCATTTCATAGAATCATAGAATCAATCAGGTTGGAAAAGACCTCAAAGATCAAGTCCAACATTACCGTCGTTACTAGTTCATGGCACTAAGTGCCACATCCAGTCTCATCTCAAAAACCTCCAGGGATGGTGAATCCACCACTGCTCCGGGCAGCACATTCCAATGCCTGATCACTCTCTCTGTAAAAAATCTCTTCCTAATATCTAACCTAACCTCCCCTGGCAGAGCTTGAGTCTGTCCCCTCTTTTCCTCCTGCTGGTTGCCTGGGAAAAGAGACCAACCCCCACCTGACTACAACCTCCTTTCAGGGAGTTGTAGAGTGTGATAAGGTCTCCCCTGAGCCTCCTCTTCTCCAGGCTAAACAACCCCAGCTCCCTCAGCCTCTCCTCATAGACTTGTGCTTGAGTCCCTTCACCAGCCTCGTTGCTCTTCTCTGGACCTGCTCCAGCACCTCAATATCCTTCCTGAACTGAGGGGCCCAGAACTGCAGAAGTGTGGCCTCACCAGCGCCGAGTACAGGGGCAGAATCACCTCCCTGGTCCTGCTGATCACACTGTTCCTGATCCAGGCCACCTTGGCCTTCTTGGCCACTTGAGCACAGTGCTGGCTCATGTTCAGTTCCCTGTCTATCTAAACTCCCAGGTCCCTTTCTGCCTGGCTGCTCTCCAGCCACCCTGTCCCCAGCCTGTAGTGCTGAAGAAAATACCACAAAAACCCCTCAACTGGTTCAAAATGAAATGGTCCTGAGTAAAGAGTGCTTTTCAAAAAAGTTGGTTCTGGAGAGACAAACAATTTCTTTTTTGAAAATATGCACTATTTGCTATAATGACAACACATAATTATCCACAGTGAAATGTCTAATTATGTTTGACAAAACCAAATATTTTCTGTTTATCTGAGGATAGATCTTTTGGTTTCAAAAAAACATCACGTTTTCAACATCTGGAGGCACTCAGTCATGCTTGTGTGAGAACAAAAGTCAGTAAGGCCTACCATCAGTTCAGGAGGAAATATAAATTCCTGTGTTTGATCCGTGGGCAGAAATTGTTCTGGACTGCAAAGACCTGAAAGGATCTGCAAATAAATTGGGGGTGGGGGGAGGGGAGGAGAAAGCACATATTCAGATTAAGCTGCAAGTCTTTGTCAACAGATGAGTTTCTTTCCTAGGGTGACATTTCCTTATGACACTTTATAGGTTGAGTTGTATTCAAAAATTCAAGATGCCCAAATCGATTTTTAATGTTTAGTTTTCTTATACGTATTCACAGACTACTTGAAAGACAGGAAACTATCATACTAATCACTCTCAAGCCTTTGCTTGAAACACATCCATCCTCAAGAAAGATCTTCTGGTGTTTTCTGAAACTGATCATAGCAAATGTGTTGCAGCCATGTTGGGTACAGTGTCTGCTGTGGGAAAATGCAGTATAGTATAGCATGGTGTACTGGTTGGTATAGTTGTGTTCTGTTCATAAACTGTGCCTGATAAGAAGCTTTCTAACAGAGCTTGACAGAACAACAAACAATGGCCATCTGATCAGAAAGAATTCTTTTCTACTTTAAAGAGAGCCTCTCCAGCATTGCATAAGCACTGCAAGAACTGAATGCTGACTGCATACCATAAAAATTAGATTCTTCTTCTTGTCATCTACAGATGTCTTTTTTTCTGCTGGGGCCTCTTGTGCAGCTATCCATCTTCTGAGTTTTCAGAAGCTTACACGAAAGGAGACTGAATACGCTGTGTCAGCAGGACTGGTTAGCTTTTTCTGCCTCACTAATTTATATTTAGATTCAAAAATCTTGTCAAACCAGACAGCAACAGGTGTCAAGAATATTGAATAGGAAAAAAGATTGACATATCGTAGTCTAATGCCTCTTATCCTTTTCCCAACCAGTCATTATCTCTGGGCACTCTGAACAGATTGTGGCCTTGGTAACTACAAAATCTGGCTCTTGATGATTTAATCTACCGATTGACTCCATTGATGAAATAGCAAAAAAATTCTATCTGCCACGATCTTCACAATAAATAGGCACCAGCTATTTCTCTTGGGTGAAAGCAACTACAAGGAATGCAAAACAGTGAAAGTCAAATGGGCACCCAAAGGAAGTGCTGTTATGTAACTGGCAACTGCTGCATTGCCAGACTTATGCTTTAAACAATGTTGGCAGCAGCTCAACAACAATTTTCAGTTCTAAAAGGGGGAGAGGCAATACACAGGTGCACAAATGTACACACATTCAGTCACACTCCTTGGACCATTAGATTTTTTCACTGTCAAAATAAGTTTTCCTCTAATCACCCATGACATTTTACTTTAGAGCTTCCTCAAAGATTTTCAGTCAGAGCAAATTTATCTAAGGAGTTAAAATTCTCATCCTGAAGCAAGATGAAGTCATATTAGCATACTATGGCCCCTTCTTGCAGGTGGATGAAGACAACAAGTTCTGACATGCACACAGGGAATGCAGGATCTTTATGAAGGAGTATCTTTCTCATGTGTACTGGAGTTCCCATGTGTATTTTTATACATAGTAATTATGGAACCTTTGCTGGGACAAATATAAATGAGGTGACTTGTGATTACACAATATGTATAATATATGCATATGTAAAGTGAGAATAAAACCATGTGTATTTTGAAGCAGTATCTATTTATCAATTGCTATAGATTGCAGAAGAATGAGACACTTCCTCCCTAAAGATCTTGGAGCCACTAAGACACAGTAATGCTTATGAGAGGCTTTACAAGTACAAACTGAGATTGCACAGCAATAGCTTTGTTTCATCTTCAGGAAGTCAGAGTTAGTGTACCAAGCACAGAAGAACAAGCCATGCTGATGGCTGCAGAACTTCTGTTAAGGGAGCTCAACATCACATCAAGACCAGTTTTTTTTAAGAAAGGTGTCTCTGATCAACAGTTTTCTTCTTTGCAGAACAAAGCAGACATAAATGCATAACATTGAGATCCACACTCTTGCTGGAAAATGCCACTAAATAGGTCAAACCTGTCTTCATTCTAACTACACAGCAATGCAGATATGCTTGGGCTACCTTTCTGCAGCAATGAGAGCACAGAGCATGGAATTCAGTCTGGACTAAATGTCCAAAGATAGAAAAGCAGATGCTGCCTCTTTCTACAAATCTGACAATGCAAACAGGACCTAATGAAAAAAAAATCTAATGTAACTTACCTGACCTCCTGTAGGAGATGTACTCACATATTCTTCTTGATCCATGCAACATTGTCCAGTTCCTCTGAGCTGGCAACATGTTGGCTCCTAAAGAAATCATATTGTACTCTATAAAAGCAATGAGGTAGCTTTGTGATATATTTGTAAATTAATGTTTTGATACTTCCTGTTCCAAAATAAATTTATTTGGTCACTTGAAGTTGCAGGACCCCTAGGAGTTCCCTTTGGGTACCCAGGTATCCATGAAGTAAATGGAGAAAAATCAAAATTACTTCAGTGGTGTCTAGATCAAGGCACTGGAACTGATGCAAAGGACTCTTAACCACATTGCAAAAGTGCACGTAAACCTAAAGTCAGTGGCAGCTGTAAGCGTCCAGCACATTTAAAATCTAAAAGAGCCAGATTTTCCAGAGGCTCAACCCAAAAACCAAATTCTAAATGATGCAAGATTCCAGGCAGGTATTTCAAAGAGGCTCAGCCTTTTCAGATACCACAAACTGCCCCAAAATAAGAAACACATTTGAAAATATTGACTTACCCTAGTAAAAGATGCATAGCTGTCTATAATTGGCCTGTAACCTGTGCAACGACACAAATTACCTGAAATAAACCATATGATAATCAGTCATAAGAAACCAGAACAAAGTGTGGGAGCACCAGCATAATTGTGAATGGTCTGGCATCAAACCTGCAGATCTGCAAACTGAAATGTATGACTCTACACTCAAATGAACAAAATAATATCTGTAAAAATAATAACCATTACTTTAATAGTGATTACGTTATATTATTAAAAATTATTATTTTAAAGATTAACAACAACAACAAGAATAACTTTTTATGAATGCATGCAAAAAATTACAAAAATTTGAAATGATGGAAAGCGTCCAAAAGTAAATACTGTGATTACTACGACCACTACAGTGTTGGGTTTTATAGTCAAATCCAAAATCTACTGCCATCCATCATTATCATGGTTTTCATACACAATTAATAGTTGTAGTAAAACCTCTACTGGAATTTCTGGCATTTCCTTCAAGAAGTCAAAATCTTCTGGTGGGAGAGGTCAATTACATTGGGAGCTATAGGAGTACTAGCAAACTTGGGTCTGGAAAGTTACTCGAAGTTGTTCCGCCTATTGTATAAAAAATAAATCTTGCTTGAAGAGTAGTCAATATTTCAGTGGCCTAAAATGTCATGCAATCTTTTCCCCCTGTAACTGTCAAAATCAGCATTAGGGGCTTTGTGTTATTGGCTGGTGAGTACATACACTGCAGACAAAATAGAACCTACTTTTTACCATATTCATTGTAACGCTGTACTCATATTGCACTACATGAGGCTGCTGTGGCAGGAGGACTGTAAAAACAGGCTGCTCTAAATACAGGGATTTTCATAATTATTTACCCAGTGCTAAATGCCACTGTGCATCCCATCTGAAGTCTTCAGTGTGAACTACCTTTGCACGATTTTGAGATGTCCTTAAACCACTACAGCTATGTCAAAGTGCTACTCTGGAACATCATCTACCGCTTTGAGTCAAACCATACTTATCACCTTTGCAAATGAACATTTATTCTTTTATTATGCTTTTTACAATTTACTGTTTGAAACTTACCATCCAGAGCAGAAACAATCTGCTCCATGGAAGGTTCTGCATGGTTTCTCAGTAAAGCATACATGGACATCACCATTCCAGGGGTGCAGAAGCCACACTGGGAGCCATTGCATTTAGCCAGCCTTTCCTAGAACCAAACAGAACAGGCCCTGAATCCAAGGATATGGCTTCACTGACTTTCTGAATAGCCATCTTCAGGTATGTCATCTACCAGTTGTATGACAGTAGCAGCATTTTGACTATCCTAAATGCTCAGAGAAATTATCTAGTTAAAGGATAACACTTGCTCCAGTTTAGACCCTCATGATCCTAGTTCCTTGATATGAGAATAGAATAAGGCCCAAGACTTTCACTTTAAATATCAGTCATACATTAGATGTTTCTAGCCATGATGGACAGAACACAGAACATCTTCAGCCAGAGCTTCAGCACAGACCAGTCCCAGAATCAAGACCCTTTGAAGTAATAATTGAGAAAAAAAGAGGATATTTAGAAAATATTCTCAAATCTATGTGGTCAGATTGTGCTTTCCAGGGACAAGCCAGAGTGGACAAAGTAAAGAGCTGACCTAATCCAAGGGAAATCTGGCACACAGGGAGAGTAAGTCTAATACCTGTCAGTCTGGTTGCCAGCTGGAGTCATTCATCCCATACTACAACATATGCAGCGTGTTGTTCTCTCTGAGAAGGCCAGATGCCATACTGGTGAATAAATGAAACTGACTGATGCTCTTTGTCCTTCCCCAACCCCTTCTGAAAGCTACCGTTGGACAGCCCTGTGTTGTGGACATTGTGATGTGCTCTCTGCATGGTAGTACATGAGAAGGAGCTCCTTCCATCCTCCATACAGGGCCAATCACAACCCAGCAATTGCTGTATTAATTCCCCCAAACACCTATTCATCCAAAAAGATTAGGCAACATTCAGTTTCTAGAATCCTTTCTGAGAATCTACGGTGCATAGACTCACAGCACCTTCTCACAGATCCCAGTGTCATTATGGACATAGGACAATTTCATTATCTTGCAGCCTTACACAGTCCAGTTTATTCTCACCTGAATTGGATGAATCCTGTTTTTTACACTTCCAACGCCTTCCACAGTAGTGACAGCAGCACCATGCACTGAGCATATGGGGAGAAGGCAGGAGTTGGCAGGATGATGGCTTTGAGGCGTGAAGGAGAACTGTTGTGTTAAATAGCTTTGTCATATGGGTCCATAGAGCAAGAAACAAAAGATACACACTTCAGCTAGTCTAGAAATGCTCTGATTGAGCAGAAGGATATGGGGAGAAGGATATGCAAACATACAAAATCCTGCACTTTGACCTGAGAGCATGCATCCTGCTCCTACAGCTGGGACTTAGGCCTTAAGTGATAAGCTTTTCTACTTAAACAAGCGGAAGGTTTAGTTAAAAGAAGAAAACCCACCCTACATACTGTGTTACAAGCCCAAGTCTAGGGTCAGATGTGATGAAGTCAGGCACAGCATTTCTAATGGAATTATATTTCAAGAGCCAGGGAGAAAAAGAAAGCAGAACTCCTAACTTTACTGTGAGCAAAAGTCTATCAATGATTACATGAATCATCTAGTGAAGATTTATTAACAGCAGCATATCCTTGAATAAGCACAAAGGGCTCAGGAAAGATAGGTGACAAAAGGGCTGCTGAAATCCCAAATCATAAAGAATACAGTCTTAAAACATAATTTCCCCCTAACACTGCAGGGTTTGGTGTTCGGTTTTTGTATTGTTTGCTTTTGGTTGTTTTCAAATACTGGAGAGGATCTAAATCTCTGTTACTCTGTAAATGTGAGGTCAGCCCTGTAATTTCCCAGTGAATTTCAGTTTTCTCAAAATATAAAATTATTATTTTCAGATATCAGCATGAGGATACTGTATCTTCTTGGCAACAGGATCATATGTGGATATCATCACAGTGCAAGCACCACAGCCTCCTACTCCACAGCCATATTTTGTACCTAAAAGACGGACTGCGAAGGAGACTGTTAAAGAAAATAAAATTACCAGATACAAGAGTTATTTTTTCTTGATATTCTTCTGAGTCTCCCTTGTTTTATCTGCATGTGCAGAATTGGAGAGATCTTCTGACCAGATAGCTCCACTGTTAAATTGAATGGGTTGAGCAAATACAGCAATAGGCCTTACTCACAGTAGTTTCCTAATCATTGCACATAATTAACTGTATCTTGCCTTTGCAAAACAGTATTGGCAAATCTCAGTAAGTTTCCAGTGCTGCCGCCAGAACATTCAAGGAGAATAGTAATTTAAAATGGAGCACAACACCCAGGTGCCCACACCCAAATCCTGTATGTAAGGACTCCCTCCATTAAGTGGCTCAGTACAAAGCCTCCAGACTCAAAACACAATCTCCTTCTGGTGTCACAATGCCCTCCAGGCCAGTGGAATCTATCATTTCCTTTCATCACTTTGTTTCACTTGTTTAACTTTATAAATTTCATGGCAGCTTCTTAGCTGGGATGACTGCCACTGAAGTCAGCTGAGTCCTAACAGCGGTTAGCACCCTGAAGAGTCTTAAATGACGAAACAATAATAATAAGATGATAAAATAAGCTTAAGCAAAACTCCTCAAAGGACTGGGACCTAAATAAATTAGTTACTACAGAAGTACTCTGTGTTGATTTTTTTATATACTGTTTTCATCATAAATGCACTAAAAGGTTTTTTCATGCTTTGGAAAGTGTAAAGAAGATTCGGGAAGTATTTCAAAGACGTGCTCAAAATTTACAATGCTATACCCATATGACTAGTACACGTAATGCACATGAAGCACTGGATTGCTTTGCTGAGAATAAATGCAAGGCAAATTTTGTTATGTCTACCTATAGTTCTGTTTACACTGTTTCCCAAAGAAAAGTAAAACAAATCATCTTAATCATCAGTTGCAGTAATTTACAGACTTCTAGAACTCAAAGTTCAAAAAAAGGATATGCTTCTTTCTTAGATAATACAGCAGCAATTCTTCAGGATCCGCCTGCCTGTCAATTACCTGTGTTATGAAATTAAAGAGAAAAAAGATAGATTAGAGAGGAATTTAATATCATCATCTCACAAGGATTAACTATGATTTTGAAATGCACTGATTGTGGATTACTGTGGGACATTGGTTCAGTGACAGGATCCTGCCACAGATCACAGTTTGCAGATGAATAAATGAATGAGTCAGGCAGTATCAGTCAAATACATCTTTTTAAAGTAATAGAAATAATAGTTTACTCAGGGAATGGAAAAGGAAAAGAGGCTAAGTAGGCACTGGATAGACAAGAGTAGAAAGAAAAGTGTCTTTGGCCTAGATCCTTTGTTGATTCCTAACAGCATGAATCATAAATCCCTTCATTGTAAAGTCATGGACTTGTGCATGTGAAAATTCTGTGTATTTTTACCTCCTTGTAGTTGATATTAACACTTTCATTTGCAGAGACCTATCAGCATAAAAGCAGAGAAAAATCTTAGTATAAGAAGAGCAAGGAGGATACATAATGAAGTATATTTTCAATCTAATGAAGTTTAATGTTTATGAGTGGAATTATGCAGGTCTTGCTTTAACCTTGTCTCAAGAATGTTGCTGTACCATCAGCAACTTCAGCTTGTTGGAGACAAGAAAATACAAACAACTTTGAAAAGAATATTTAGGACTCATTGATGCAGAATGAACAGAGACTGAACATCAGCCTTCTCTCAACAGTTCTGCTCTATCAGCAGCATGCTCCAATTTACCAGGTGTAAGGCAACATGAACTACTTCAGGAATTTATTTGGAACTGCAGAGTGAAATAAGGTTTCAGAGTATGCCTTTAAGCACAGCTGACATGTACTGACAGATAAAACATAACAGACAGAAAAAAAATTGAATTATTTTCCTTAATTCACCTAGTCAAATAAAAACCAGTACTGTCTCTCCAGAGTATAAAAATGTCGACCATCAATTGAAAAATATCTCTAGAAAAATACATGGCAAAGCTGGTTGGCTGGTTTGTTTTTCAACAAATAAGTAAGTTTCCTTCATTTCGGCTTGTAATATACTTTCTGTGGTATTTTTGTTAATAGGACTTCTCATTCACTTGACTTGCAAAGTAAGAAAAGGTGAAAAAATGCTTTTGCAAATGAAATGAGAGCTTTTGACATCAAGAACAGAAAAAAATTAGCTACTTCTTTTCTTCTGGTGAATTACTGAAACTATATTAGTAAGCAGCATATTCTTTTAGTAGCGACATATTTACTCCAACTATGTCAACTTTAGCAGTACATTAATATAAGATTTTCATAAACAGATAACTAATTTCAATTCTAAAAATTCTGTGCCATGTTATGCAAAGACTGTAGTAGGAAGCAGGGTACTATTAGGAAGATCAAAGACAAGAGATGATTATCCATGAATAAACTGTTGCTCCTAGCCCAACTAGCCCTCCTAACCAGAACCTAGTATTTGTGTTAGCTTTCTTGAATATGATCAGCAAATATTAAAGCCATGCTGTTCAAAAGAGAAAAAGCATTAAAAAACTTACCTTCCTGCCATTCACAAAAAAGACAAGCTCATTTGATTGTTGAAGACAAGCCATGCTGTTGCATCAAAGTCTGAAAAATAAAGCTTTATGCATCAAGAGAAATTCATGAAATGCTACATGTACCTAAAGGCTGGCCGAGTTTGCTTAGTCCTGCAGAATTTAATTTCATGCTCAGTCTGCAAATAAGGAGATGGGGAGGGGCCAGTGTAATGCATGCTGTTTCTCAGCAATAAAGTAATGATCAGATGCTAACACACCATCTCCTACTCCCCACCCCAACTCTTCTCTGGTGACTTGAAATAATCTGGAAAAAAATCTGAGCCTCTCTAGTTCTAACCCTGTAACCTAAGAGATAACTGTGAGGGGGAACATCTTGGTTTGAGCTACAACTGTTACCCAGTAACTAATGAATTTAGAATACAAAGGCATACTTGAAGCTAGAACCAAGGACATGCCACATTACCCACTTCTACAGGTGGCAAATATGGAGCCATGGTTCTCATTTTAGCCTGACCTGAACTATCTATAATCTTTTTTCTGCAGAGTGGCCAAATTTTAAGAAAATCAACATATTACTACTGTACACACATTTTAAATTTCCTCGAGGTTATTTCTGTGTCATGCAAGCTCTATGCCTTGACTGCTGTGGATGCCATTATCAGATGACCATACTCTAGATATGCTATGTTCTTAAAGAGTGAAATCCCAAATCCTGATTTGTGATTCTAGATCCTTATCCATTTCTCTGTATGCAAACAAGATAATTAATCTATAAATGCCTTATTACAGCTGGCCCTAAATTTCTTTAAAGGGGAATTATGTATATGTCTTTCAGAAGCCTCCATTTGTGTATGTACCTGCCTTTTGTTTTATTTACTGGTTTTCTATTTTACAGCAAACATGTCTGTGTCTCATTCAGAGTCAGTATAGACCCCTAGGTCAAAGTACTCTGTCCCTGATCTTTTAACACTCCCTGTTAGAGGGCAAGAAACTGATTCCCAGCAGAGATATGCTGCTGCTTTTGTAGTTTAACCCCTAACGTATTCCTGAGAGCTACCACAATGCGAGCACTGAAGATGTCAGTCACTAGCTCCCTGTAGGCAAAAGCCCTAATGTGTCCTGCCAACTGCAGCATCACTAGTATTCCACATGTGTTGTAGGTACAACAAAGGCCTAAGAACAAAAAGAACCAGAGCAAACACTAGATTTTGGCAGTCCAGTATCTAATTTTCAAACTACCAGCCCTTCAAACCAGAAACTAGTATTTATGTTAGGTGTTTAAGCTTGCACTATACAGAATAGAACTACAGCGTGTGGATAGTTACAGAAACACTTTTTTCATGAAGAAAATTTGCAGAAAGAGCTCTTCTCAACCATCTGCAGTTTGGGTACTTCTGTCCAGTGCACATTAATGTGCCAATAGCCATCCAACATGTCAGTGCCTTTGGAGCCCTAATATTTCTGCTTACCTACCTCCTTGCATAGTCTAAGAAAATTTCTATCATAACATTGCATGTAGCCAAGTGCCATCTGTCAGAATGGTTAATTGCTAATATTTCTAGCTTCTGTGTGGTTTTTTAAACACCTAAAAGCCAGCAGACAGCTTAATATGTTTCAGTCCCCCAAAAACCAAGAACCTGTATTTGCTACATGTATAGAAATGTACTGAGACAACTCGACAACAGCACCACTTGTAAAAGGACAGGGGGGAATCTTTGTTAATAATGACAGTGAAATACTGACAGGAGAATACAGAAAACTAATGAAACATGATGCAAACATGGAGTGTAAACATCTCAGCACTGCAGGTGGGGATATGCCACTGCCTGCATGGGTTGGGAAATGATTTTTACAAGACCTGTGCTGATGCAGGGGTACATAGGAAAACAGCACGTTCCCCTCACTTCAGCAGATGTACATGCTCCCTGCTTCAGCGTATCCCAGAATTTATGCATATTTTTTGGCTGTTATCAACATGTGGAGTTGTGAGCTGTCATTGAAAAATTCATGCAGTGAAACTAAGATGTTTCAAATCAGAAACACTAAATGTGGCAGCAGCATTCCCATTTAATTTGATTTATTGACCTTAAAACAATAGAAAAAAGTCAAAGCAAGTGAAGTAAAAAACAATAAGGCTTCAGCTGCCTAAACCACACTTTCAGTGCCACTTCTCTAGTTGATATGTCGTATCTTCCAGTGCTGTGCTCTCCAATGTCTCTGCTGTCTTACGACATAAAATGGTCTAAAAACCTATGTTTAAGCAGTTGCCTTTCACCTACTCATAGTGGTTTCAGTGAGACTAATTGAAACGATAAAGATTTCATATCTTAATAGCCAATGCAAAAGCTGTTTAAGCTGCTAACCTGATTTCCATCACAGATACACTATCAATACATAAAAGGGATGGAAGGCAAAAATATAAAATGTGGAAAACTGAGAGGCAGTGAAATAATAACATGTCAAACAAATTAAAGGCATTTACTTCCATTACAAATGTGTTGGGAGTGACTCTTACAGGACAGCAGTCTTCATGGCTCTGGAGCAATGTGACCAATGAGGAAGAGCAATCACCATGCTCAGCAAGGAAGAACTGATGCAGAGGTTCAATGAAACCACATTGAATTCATAAACTACTGATGTTCCCAGTTCTGCTTTCTTATCAAAGAACCCACTGCAATTTTTCAGGTGCAATTTTATGTAACTTCTGCAGAATCACTAAGAAAGGGTTTTCTCTATGCAAGGATATAGTCCAGACCAGGAAGAGCAATCACCATGCTCAGCAAGGAAGAACTGATGCAGAGGTTCAATGAAACCACATTGAATTCATAAACTACTGATGTTCCCAGTTCTGCTTTCTTATCAAAGAACCCACTGCAATTTTTCAGGTGCAATTTTATGTAACTTCTGCAGAATCACTAAGAAAGGGTTTTCTCTATGCAAGGATATAGTCCAGACCAAAGTCCCAAATGAAAATACCATGGAGATTTGTGTGTGTGTGTGTGTGTGTGTGTGTGTGTGTGTGCGCGTTCAGAACTGAAATCCTGTCTTTGCACTTGAAGAGCAGGAAAGGTTGAAGTTGTCATTAAGTTCAATATTGTGGATTCTGATGCTGAAAATTGTGACTGGAGCTTTCATAAATAAAGTTATTTTGTGGTCTCAATTTACAAATATATACATACTTCAAATTTATTAACATCAGAATTTTTGTTACCATTTAATACAATGCTGCTTTATACTTTTCTGTTTTCTTCAGCTGCTACTGCTTGGGTGTGGTCTAATCCCATCACACCCTAGTGTCACCAGATGATTGATATTTGCAGATCATCTTTTGATTTTGTTATGCTTTTTCTATCTTCCTTATATCAGGAGTGGCTTAGTGGGAGAAAGCTCTTAATGGTGCAATATAATCATGAACATAGGATTAAGCACTGCTTAAGTTCACCCATTCTCCTATTCAAAGCACACTGAATTCCATGTCAGTTTTCCCATTATGTTCAGAGGTTTTTGGCTTGCTCCATGAGAAAAAGAAAGCTTCTCATGGAAATTATAACTAACTGGTTCTTCCAATTTTTGGAATAAAATTAATCTCCTACATATGTTAGTCAGCCATGGCAATTTGCCTGGGACAGCAAAAAGATGTCTGTGCCAAAAGAATCTAAGGCAACTTTACTACAAATCCAAGCATCACTTCTGATCAAAAAGAGACTGAATCCAACAAACAAGGTTCTGATTCTTTGACAAAGATCTCTGCATTTACTCTCTACAGCAAGACTCAAATCTAAATTAGAAAATTAACTGAAGTCCTTATGAAATTATTTGGCATATGAAGCTGTTAAGTATAATAAGTGGCAGTAAGTTATCTAGCATACCTTTTTACTTCACCCTAACTTTCCTCTCCTGCAGCATTTGAGCTGTACTGTTCAGCAGATCTTTCTTGAATATATATGCATAAGAGTATTTCTACCAACTAAAAGCAGTCATTTAAGAGAGATACGGTAACGAATATACTGGAGGAAGAATGAAGATATGGATAGAAGATATAAAGTACAAATTTTTGGTAGCATATTCTATTCTGAAAAGAAGAAAATGAGAAAATTTATTTATCTCTGTGTTGATTAGTGTATCTTGGGGCATTAAATCAGTTTTCCATTCCGGTCTTGTGCACTATGGTTTGTCATTCACACAGATGTACCCCAAGGAGTAGAGGAAGCAGCTTCATTGTTTGCCATCTAAGAGACAAGCACGAAATGACAAAAGTGACTTGTCAATATTATCTGACTCACAAACTCCCAATATTGCCCTTAACATGTGCCTCCAAGTCACTCAGCAGGGTATTATATAGGAGACACCTACAGAGGATGACTAGAAGGAAGGTCAGTGACAGCTGGAGCCAAGGATAACAAAGGGATGAAGTATGGTCCCTGCACGGGTGGACCTCACCTCCTACAAGCTCCTGCAATGAGAATCAGCCCACAAACCTGAGTTTGGGTCAGAGGTTGAG